AATAGAATCGAGAATGTAAGTTAAATGCAATAGTATTAAACGAGTTGTGTTATGAACCATTCCATAAACAAAATAATAATAAAAAAGGACTTGAATTGCATTGCTTGGAATTATATAAACAATGGAAGAAGTCATTCTTTATTTTCTTTTTTATCAAGACGGAATGAGAAGGCACTAATGAATCTTTTTATATTTATTGTGAAATTAATATTTTATTTTATCTAATTTTATTACGTTCATAATTAATCACATAACATTTTTTTTTTATTGAATGATGATTTATGTTTGTCATGATCTGATTAAAAGTCATATTAAAATTCTGGTATAAGCGTGGGCGGAGACAAGTGCTAAAAGAAATTAGAGAAAGAATGAACATAGACATGTTACATAAACAAAATAAAATAAAATAAAATAAAATAAGACTTTGAATTGCATTTTTTGGAATTGCATAAACAATGGAAGAAGTCATTTTTTATTTTCTTTTATCAAGACCGAATGAGAAGGAAAGGAATTATATATTCATTGTGAATTTGATATTTTATTTTATCTAATTTTATTACATTCACAGCTCATCACATCTTTTTTTTGAATGATGATTTATGTTCGTCACAGCCTAATTAAGTCATATTAAAACTTTCGGTATGAGCACGGGCAGAGACAATTGCAAAAGAAATTAGAGGAAGAATGAAAATAGACATATAAAACAAATTGTGTTATGGTTCGTTGCATAAAAATAAAAAATAAAAGAAAAAAAAGACTCCAATTGTATTTCTTGAAATTACATAAACAAAGGAAGAAGTCATTCTTTATTTTCTTTTTTATCAAGACGGAATGAGAAGAGAATAAAATGAAACAAAAGACTCAAATTGCATTTCTTGAAATTACATAAAAAAATGGAACAAGTCATTCTTTATTTTCTTTTATCAAGACCGAATGACAAGAGAATCTAATTAGGCTATCTCTAATTAATAAGCTACTTTCCAATATTTGAAGAAAGCGCTCGAAATTTCGTAATGAAGGAATGTTGCCTTTAAGGACTTTAACATTGCCTTCAAGGGCTGAATTTCAAACAAAGTTAGGCCATATTCTGCATTGGCTCACCAACTATTTTTTGACTTCCTAGTTTTTGCTGGTTTGCTTTCTACTTTTGTATATCTAGTTATAACTTGTATTTTTTTTTTTTTTAGTAAAAAAGGAGAACCTTTTTTTTAGTAAAAAAGGAGAACAACACAAAACCTATCTCGGAAAGCTAATGTCATAAGTATCAGCCCATAGAATTAAAGATAAAGAAGCAGGATAAGAATTCAAAATAAACAGAGAGGAGGAGATAGAATTCAAATCTTTTTATATTCATTGTGAATTTAATATTGTATATTATCTAATTTTATTACGTTCACAACTCATCGTATCCTTTTGGTGAGTGATGATTTATGTTTGGCATGACCTAATTAAAAGTCATATTAAAATTTCATATTAAAATTTCAATACAAGTGTGAGCGGAGAACAAATTGCTAAAAAAAAAATTAAAGAAAGAATGAAAGAATAGACACGTAAAACGAATTGTATCTAATTGCATTCTTGAATTGCATTACAAAAACAAAATAAAACTTAAAAAAAAATACTTTACAAAATAAAAACTAAAAAAAAAAGACTTGAATTGCATTTCCTTGGAATTACATAAACAATGAAAAGAAGTCAATTCTTTATTTTTCTTTTAGCAAAAGACGACTTTTAGCAAGACGGAATGAAAAGGAAATTGTTGGATTTTTTATTTCATTTATAATTTAGTATTTTATTTTATCTAATTTATTATGTTCACAACTCATCGCGTCCCTTCCTTGAATGATGATTTATGTTTATCATACCTAATTAAAAGCATATTAAAATTCCGGTATAAGCATAGATGGAGACAATTGCTAAAAAAAATTCAAGAAAGAATGAAGATAGACAAGTAAACGAATTGTATTATAGTCAAACAAAATACAACTAAAAAAAAAAAAGACTTGACTTGCATTTCTTAGAATTACATAAACAATGGAAGCTATCATTTTTTATTTTCTTTTATCAAGACAGAATGAGGAGGGGATTAATGAATTTTTTTATATTCATTTGTAATTTTATCTAATATTTTATCTTATCTTTTTATGTTTGTCATGATCTAATTAAAAGTCATATTATAATGATATATTGGTCAAACTTTTATTTTAAATTTTCGTCTATAATTAAGTCTTTTCCGAGTTAGTTATATGAAATTATTGGGTTATTTTAAGAAATTTAATAGTCAAAAAAATGGAAAAAAAAATTTAATTGTTGTTATTCTTTTCTTGCCTAAATTTATTAAATACGCGGTGATTGTAGACAATACTTAATTAAACGGACAAAATGGTTATTATTAAAAACAAAGGCTATTTATATCGATATATGTAAATATAAAAATATATAATCATAGAAGCAAATTGGCTAATGTAAAAGCTACATTAATTATTTTTAAAATTTAATTATTAATAAAATTGTTAATGCAATTCCATTACATTAATTATTTTTATTTAAAAGAAGTTAAAAACTACAATGATGGGTTAACTAATGAAATTAAAATATAACTTAACTTCATTAAAATTTATTGCGGTACAATTAAATCTTTTGATACTCTGAATTAAATTATAAAAAATTATGACAATTATAACCGTTACAACTAATTGATGGAATATGCATATTTCCTGTGTGCATATTTGAAAAAAATTACTCAAATTTGAAATATGCATATTTCCTGTATTTAAGTAATTTCAATTCGATGGAATAAATGATGTTTTTTTTTTTTTTTTTTTTTTTTTTTTTTTTTTTTTTTTTTATGTGTGAAAAGTGGGCGTAATTATGAGCCTTATTGCTCATAACATGCCACTAACAAAATAATAAGAGTTTAATTTACTTCGCATAATTGATTTTTTTTATGTTTTTTTATGTGTACTTCAAATAATTGATCTTCGATTTATGCAATACTATTTATAATGAAGAAATTTCAAATTTTTATATATTACTCATCAAGTATTTATAATTTAGTGCTACTATTTAACCCCTTAATTAGGTCAATGATAAGCAATTTTTAGGTCAATAATAAGAAATTAACCATTAACCATATGCAAGATATCACTAGGAAAAAATCAGAATTTAGCGACCAATTTATAAACCCCTTAATTAGGTCAATAATAAGAGATCTTTTGCTGAAACTATTTAACCATTAACCATATGCAAGATATCACTAGGAAAAAATCAGAATTTAGCGACCAATTTATAAACCCCTTAATTAGGTCAATAATAAGAGATCTTTTGCTGAAACTATTTAACCATTAACCATATGCAAGATATCACTATGAAAAAATCAGTATTTGGCGATAAATTTTACCGACAAACAAGTTTTATGCAAGATATCACTGCAAAAAAATCAGCACATAGCAACAAATTTTACCGACGGACAGATTTTATTGGTAATTACTGATAGATTAGCAATTGTTTACCAACTGATTGTTGATATATTACTGGCTAGATACCGACAGATTACTGGTCGATTTCGATAAAAAATAATTTTAATTTCAGGCGGTATAAATGGGCAAAAATGACAAAATTTTGTGACAAACTAATGACAAATTACGAACTAATTTGCGACAAAATTTTGTCACTAATTTGTGAGTATGTACCGATCAATTACTATATATTACCAATCAATTTCGAAAAAAATTTAAAAATTTTACGCGGGATACATAAGTGGTAAAGATAATATTTAGCAACAGAATTTCAGCATTTAGTGAGAAAAAATTCTGTCACTAAATACTGAAATTTTGATTTTAAACACAACCTTTTTTTTTTTTCATCTAACTTCTCATTCTTTTTTTTTTTTGTCTCCTTACCTTAGCTTTGTTCTCCTTAACTTAGCTTTCTTCTTCTTTTTTTCTTTCTTCCTTTTTCCACCCTTCTTCATCATCTTCATTTTTTCTTTTTTTTTTTTTTTTCTTCAATACCATCTTGTTTATATATAAAATTAGACATAAATTTTTTTTTTTTCTTTTTTTTTTTTTTCTTCTTCAATACCATCTTGTTTATATATAAAATTAGACATAAATATGAGTCGTGTAAAAATTCTTTTAACTTAAAAGGTTTAATTGTTGCAATTCTAATATTACCTTATTTATTCCCATTTTTATATATAGTAGTATTTAAGAACATGCATTACCTAATTTCTTCTCGTAGTTACTCGATATTTATTCTATTTTTTCTAGTTTTTATATAATCAAATATTGTATATTGAGAAGGAAGAATTATTTAATCTTTACATAAATCTAATAATTGCATGCTATGGAATTGAAGAGGGATCGGAAGGCAAACATTCTTTCAAATACAACTCAACATATGATCATTAATAATCTTTTTAGTAACGCCTAGAACCAATATTACATCAAATGTTTTTTTGTAAGAAATTATCAAATCCCTTTTTTTTCAACAAATAATAATAGTCTTCTTTTAGTGAAACAGAAGATAAAAGTAATTTATTTTTTTGTTTTTATTAAATAATATTAGTAGACATATTTAATTTGATGAATTTAGTATGAATAAAATTAGTGAAATTAGCGAAATGCTAATATCAATTCATTTTGTAATGGACAAAAGCAATAAAAAAATATTTTTTAAAAAATTTTAATGTAAGTGATTTGATCTGTGTGTGAACAGATACACTCGGTATAGGCAAATTTTATTCGTATCATGAAGTGAGAATTCACTAATGTCAAATAAATTATTTTTATATAAATTTGAATCAATGAATTATACAAACAAGTAGACTTAGATTGAATTCACATTTAATAAAATAAACAAGTAGACTTAGATAGTTATTCATTAGTGGATTTTTAAATCTTAGCAATAAATAAAAAATTAAAGACTTGATAATATGTAAATGCACATGATTATGCACAAAAACATTCTAGCAAACTTCAAGTCTCTCTAGTGAAACAATGTCCACTCAAGGAGGATGGGATAACACCCAAGAAGGAAACACTCAAGGCAGAAATACTCAAGGTGGAGAACGGGGCAGCATTAAGGAAGAACAAACTCAAGGTGGAGGATGGAGCAGCATGAAGGAAGAAAACACTCAAGGTGGAGGATGGAGCAGCATGAAGGAAGAAAACACTCAAGGTGGAGGATGGAGCAGCATGAAGGAAGAAAACACTCAAGGTGGAGGATGGAGCAGCATGAAGGAAGAAAACACTCAAGGTGGAGGATGGAGCAGCATGAAGGAAGAAAACACTCAAGGTGGAGGATGGCAGTCTTAAGGAAGAACACACTCAAAGTGAAAGACGAGATAGTACCCTAGGTGGAAATGCTCAAAGTGGAGGCCGGAGGTGGTAGAGGTAATACTTATGAAGGAAACACTCAAGATGATGGTGGTTATGGTGATACTCGGGAAGGAAAAAATATCCATATTTATTTTCTATGTTTAAGTAATTTCTATTGAAATAAATGGTGTTTTTTTTTTTTTTTTTTTTTTTTTTTATGTGTGACAATGTAACGGAAATTAGACCCTTATTGCTATTATATGTGCGACTCAAAAAACAATAAAGAATTTATTGTACTTTGCTAGTAATTGATGTTTCCAATTTATCGATATATGTCTAATCAAGATAATTTCAAGTTCTATTTCGCATCAATATTTATAGATGTATTTATTAGCTATTAGTGTTTCGACTATACCTTAGAAATTGGTTTATCAAAATATTTTTATAAACCTCTTAATAGGTCAATATATAGAAATATTGTAGAGTGAAAATATTAACCATTATAAAATATATATATAGATATATATTATCTTATAGTTATATATATATATAAACCTCTCAAATTCTACAAAATTTGTTGCCTAAACAAATTTATTTTACGAGGGAATTTATTTAGAAAAACTCTCCAAGCAAAGAGAGTAGTTTTAGAAGGAAGATCTGATAGATACTCAATTTATCTTGATTTTTTTTTTTAACTATGTAATATATGAAATTTTCTAATTGAAATCCTAAGTTGCTAGTGTTGGACTCGCTGCTCGCATTTACATCTCTCCTTGGAAACACTCAAAACGCTTTCATATTGTGTTTAGTAAATAACTAATCAAGATTCAAACCTTAAAAATCTAATCGCATTTTGTTTTAGGATTCATTTGTTTTCACAAAATAACTTATATAGAAAAATATTTTTTTCAGAATTTTTCGTTGTTTCAATCATTCAGAAAAATAAGTCAATGGAAAATATTTTTTCGGTCAAAGGAAAACTAAGTCATGTAAGGAAAATGATTTCCCATTTTAAGAGAAAATATTTTTGATTATTGGCATACTATAATAGAGAAAAACAATCGCTCATTCTTAAAATCAGTATCATATGGAAATATATAATATAGCATGTTTGAAACCAAATAAAATTTCAAAATGACACTTAAAAATTAAAATAAATTAACGGAAGGAGGAATAGTTATCCTAATTTCCAATTATTTTTTATCGATTGTTTGTTATTTGCTTTCCATTGGTACGTATGCTTTACTTGAGCACTATCCAATTCTAAATTATGATAGGGTTTCTCTCCCCTATTTTCTCTGTAGTTTATCTAACCTTAGTTTTTGTTTGGGGTTGCCGCTGTTAATTAGCAGTAGCCCCTTACTTTTTATGTTTTTTTTTTCTCGCTTCTAATTTTGTATTTGTTTTTACTAAATTGAGATCTATTTTCTTCTAATAGATATGTTTTTTCTTTGTTTTTTTCTTATTATTAATTTGTCTCCATATTTGGAGTTCTTTTGTCTCTTCTTCCATGAGGATTTAGTTCCTTTTTTGTGATGATATTTGATTTTATTTGATTAGAGAATTTAGATCTTATTTTACTAGTATGTATTTGCAATTAATGGAGCCTGGTAGTGCGGCTTGTTCCTATATTGTTGCTATTAAGACATAGTGGCATGAACTCATCCGTGTACATCATATGCAACAATTTTTTGAAAAAGCAATTCAAGCATAGAAGATCCGGAGAAGTTATTTTATTGTTCAAATCAATTAAAGGACCAGTTGCTACTATGAAAACCTATATTGGTCAAGGTCATCTTTAAGCAGAAAAATCCAATATTGCTTATTTGTTTTTTTATTGTTCATATTCAAGTATTAACGGACCATGTTGCTATCTATGAAACCTATTTGGTCATAGGTCATCTTTAGTCAAAAATCCAATATTGCTTATTTTTAAATTTTTGTTTTTTTTATTTATAAAGAATAACGATAAATTCATCTTTAATTTTTGTTTTATTATTTAAAAGAATAACGATAATTCATTTAATTTATTAAAGGATCAACGAACTTTCTATTAATTATGATAGTAATTTTTAAGTCTGATCTAATCGAGTATTTGTAATACTTGATTTTATTATTAATAAATTTAATTTCTAAAAAAAAATCTAAATTATGACGCATATGTTGAATTCTATCTTTAAAAAAGTCGCTAATTAATAAGTAATGCACCGGCCCATTTAACAAATTACATACCTACCGTTAATTAATTCGGTTTCCTTCACGTTGCATCATGATAGAAGCAAATATAATAAAGAATGACTTCTCATAGCAATTAATTGACATAGAATGCAATCCAAGACTTTTTAATATCAGTAAAGTCTTGGTCTATCTTAAATAATTAACAATACCTTGTACAGATGTCACCTAATCAACAATGAATAATATAACAATATTCCAAGTCACACTTCATTTCCTATATGCCTATCCTATATTGCCTAATAAGGATCACAATCTTGATTAGCATCATGAAGTCGAGAGGAAAAATATTCACCAAGAATAGTCTAGCATGAGGTTCAAGTTTTTCTGTGAGAAATGTCGATCTTCAAGGAGGAAACTACTTTTATACCAAGGAGGATGGGTAACACCCTAGGGATGGAAACACTTCTAAGGTGGAGGATGGGTAAATACCTAGGGAGGAACACTCAGTGAAGGACATTGACAAATACCCGTGGCGGAAATACTCTAACGTGTGGAGGATGGGGCCAACAAGCCAAGGTAGAAAATAGGGGACTGGGACCCAACGGCTGGAGCGGCATTGGTCAACAACTCAAGGTGAGTGTATAGGAAACTACTCAAAGTCTCATGGATATGGATTACCCGGATTCGATAACACTCTATTAGAGGTGGAGCCCGAGTACTAGAAAAAAAGATTAGAATACTTAGTATTGAAGGAAATACCAAGGTGGGAGGAGTGGGGCAGACACCCAAGGTGGAATACAAGGTGGAGGATTGGTGCAAGCACTCAAGGTGGAGGATTCGGAATATATTAAAGTCCAGGATAGCTAATAAGCGGGTCAAAACACGTCAAGGTGGAGGATGGGAAAAACACTCTATAAGTCCAGGGATTAAGGTAGATATCCCTGGATCGAACACTCAAAGGTGGAGGCCGAGGTACAAGAGAAATACTTATATGAACGGAATACTCAAGATGCATGGTAATTATGGTACATACTCGGGAAAGAAAAAGAAAGAAAATGCATGTTTGTTTAAGTAATTTCACTCTGGAATGAAATGATGTTTTTTCTTTTTTTTTTTTATTTTCATCTTTTTTATGATGAACGGTGAGGATAATTAATGAAGCATAGTGCTCATAAATGATGCGACCACAAAAATATAAGAGTTCACCAGTATTTTGCAATACATTGATGCTTCCATATTTAGGCAATACCTATCTCTAATGAATGAAATTTCAAAGTTTCCTGTGTACTTCAAAGGTTTATAGCATTATTACATAGCTACTCAGTTTGGACTCTTACTCAAATTGGTTTTATCAATATTTATAACACCTTCTTTAATATTGGTTCACAACAACATATTTTTAATGTGAAAGCTACTTACACCAATTAATGATATATATATAATATATATATATAATATATATATATATAATCTATAGTTAATATAATCCTCACTATATATTATATATATATATGCCTATATATATAAGTTGCCTTACTTTTTGTTTAAATTTCCATTGGATATCACTGTAATTGCCGTGAAATGCAATAGAAGTCTTTTTATATTTTATGTACTAAATTTGGTCTACAAAAAATATCAAATATTGTAATAATTTCTGGTGTTTTTCTGGTGTCCTAAAGTAATAATTTCATTTCTATTTTTAAAATAGTTTTTAAAATTTTTTTATAAAACTCTCATATATAATAATCAAGTTTAGAACAAACTTTTGAAAGGATTAATTTGTACGTAATTATTTGTCTCGACTCAATTTATACATCCATTCATGAACTAAACTGAATGAAAAAATAATTTTTTAATAATTAATAATGTGAACAAGACTTTGAAAAGGGTAGTTGAGTCTCCATTTAATTAGTTGAAGATTAAATGTAAATACATGTAAATAACCATGACGAATTAAGCGTGTAAGCCTTTCAACGCATGTGACGTATCGCAGACTCAAAAGAAATTAAACCACTTCTTGATGTATTAAAAGTTTTAAAAGAAAATATTAGATTAACCTATGAAAGTTGATTGCATTTTTAAAAGATGGTTCGTTTGGGTTAAATTCTGAATCTATTAAGACCACGAACCTTCTATTCCGCAACAACTTTTTATATAGAGTTTAGAATTTTTTATTTTTTGTAAAATCATCGATATCCAGACCTTATTATTAAGAATCTGTTCGGCAATAATTTTTTATACAGTATTTAACGTTTTTTTTTATGTAAAACCATTTGTATCCAGAACCTATTACTAGAGATCGTCTAATCCGGTTCGAGGTTTAGTTACAATTAACGCTTATCGGCCTCTCTACAGGTGAGTTCAGTGAGAATTGAACCGAGAGCTCTTCCCACATGATCAGCCTGCATTGTTAACTGAGCCACAGTCCATAAATAGAATTTATCCATATTATTTATATTATTCGGTGGTGTTAATGTTTATAGTAGTGTTTAAAATTTGAGAGAGCGGAATACAAAACGTTACTCCTTGCGTTTGATGAAATGCAAACTAAACAACTTTTAAAATAACTAATCTTGCCTAACATACCCTAACAAATGTTTGGGTTTAAAAGTCTACCTAATGTCTTTTGTTTCCAATGGACTAAATTAATAAAAATGTTTTTGTTAAACGGTATTTTTAACTATTCATTAAAAAAAAAATTGAAAGAAATTTTTTAAAAAATTTTTATTGCAATTGATTTAGTCCATGCTATAAAATAAATTCTGTCCAGATTATAAAATTGAATTCATTAATATAGCATGGATTCAAATATATACCGACAATAAACTATCATTTTTGTATAAATATGGATTCAAATAATTATTGTATATATTTACAATTAATATCCAAAGTCATATATTTTAATATCGATATTGTTAAGGTCTTGGTCTATCTAAAATAATTAACCACATATATTTTAATATCGATTATTGTTAAGCGGTCTTGCTCAATCAAAAAATTAACTAACCCTTATATACCTGTATCTAATCAAGCAATGAATAATATACAACAGTATCCAAGTCACCGTTCATTCCTAATTAGCCTATAAAGGATTCGTTCCTACATTAACACAATTTCCTATATGCCTATATAAGGATTCACAGTTCTCTAATTAACACATAAGCTAAAGACAGGAAAATATTTCACAAAAACATTAATTCTAGCGAAGTTCAAGTCTCTTTGAGTGAAACAATGGCTAGTCAAGGAGGATATTGGTATTGGGGAGGAAATACTCAATATGGAAGATATTGGTATTGGGGAGGAAATACTCAATATGGAGGATGGGGCAACACCCCGAAAGGAAATACTCAATATGAAGTTGCCCCAAAAGGAAATACTCAATATTGGGGCAATAACCCGAAAGGAAATACTCAATATGAAGGATGGAGTAATAATCAAGGACCGGCAATTTTACGTGGAGAAGGGTTTACTCATTTGAGAGGACCCACTCAAGGAGGAAACAAGCAATGTGGATCGTGCAATAATCAAGGAGGAACTCAAGGTGGAGGCTGGGGTAATAATCAAGGACCGACAATTTTATGTGGAGAAGGGTGTACTATCCTGGTAGGACCCACGCAAGGAGGAAACAAGCAATGTGGATCGAGCAATAATCAGGGAGGAACTTAAGGTGGAGGCTGGGGTAATCATACCCAGGGACAAGGTGCAGGATATAGTTATCCTCAGACGCGATAGATGTAATACTTAAGAAGGAAATACTTAAGGTTGAAACATACATATCTCCATGTTTAAATAATTTCAATTGAATGAAATAAATGGTATTTTTTTTGTTATATATAAAACGTGAGCCTAATTATGAGTCTCATTGCTTGTAATTTCCAACTCACAAAATAATAAGAGTTTTAATATACTGTGTGAATTTGCATAATTAATCTTCAATTTATGAAATATTATTTATAATGAAGAAATTTTAAGTTTCTACTACTCATTAAGTATCAATATAAATATATAATTTCTAAGGTCTAAATGCTTACGTAACAATATGTTAGAATATGAAAGTGATGATAGTGAGCTATAATGCAACTCTTTTTACTTAGTCTTCACACTTGGTCGGAAATGGTATTAAGCGAAAACCCTCATATTAATGATAGTTTTATATTTATCACCATGTTTTTTTTTAATATATCTATAAGTAATGTTGTGAGTTCTTAGAAAATAATAGTTTGTTGTTTTAATTTAACTAGTCAAACTTTTTTACCTTATGCGGTTTAATGCATATAAATTAAATTTACTATAAGATAGTGTTATATTATTTTTATATTTAAAGTTATTTTAAAATTTATTTTATTGGTTATCTATTATATTTCATCTATAAATAATAACTATATCAATTTACTTAATAATACAATTATTTCTTGATAAATTAAAAAAGGATTAATAAAAGATGATAAAAAATAATAAAAGAAAGCTAAAAATATACATGTTAATCCTTTTTTTAAATACAGATATTTCCTTTGCAGATAGGATGAATTTATTTTACTCAAACTATAAAATTACATGAAAGAAAAGTTCATGAATATTAACCATTGAGTGCCTTTTAATCAAGATATTAACTTTTGTAACTATCCAAAAAAAAAAAAAAAAAAGGTTAAAAATGAAAAAGAATGTGCTTCGTATCATGACTTTGACGTAAATTCAAGTAAAATTTATTTATTTTATGTGAGCTTACAAAAAATATATAGCTATTTTTTATAAAATATTGGAAAATTTTACAAAATTTTTGCATCTAGACTTGTTATTTTGTAAAATCTTTACAAAATATTTGAAAATATTATAAAATATTGATAATATAATCTAATATTTCGTAAACAACCTCTCAGACCGTTGAGTATGAAGATTTTTTGTTTCTAAAGTAAATTGCAATTCCTGGACATTAACCTGTGTTCTCATTCTAAGATTTAAGAATAGGATCAATATATATTTACGATTAGTTTCCAAAGTCTTGGTCTGCTTCTTTTCATGTATTTTAATGTTGACATTGATAAGGTCTTGGTCTATCTAAAACAATTAACTATACCTTATACACCTGTTATCTAATCAGCAAATGCGAAATATAAGAATATTCAAGTCATAGTCATTTCCTATATGCCTATATAAGGATTCACAATTCTTTGGTTACCACATAACGCAAAAGACACAAAATCATATCTCAATGACCAGTTTCCAGGTCTCTCTGAGTGAAACAATGACCAGTCAAGGAGGATATTGGGGTGTTATCCAAAGAGGAAATACTCAGGATGGAGGATTGGTTAATAATCATCCACCACAAATTTTTTGTGGAGAAGGGTGTACTATCTTTATAGAACCAACTCAAGGAGGAAACACTCAATGTGGATCGGGTAATACCCAGGGAGGCGGAGGCTGGAATTATTATATCCAAGGACCAAACAATCAAAATGGAGGACATGGTCGACCTCGGAGGTAATAGAGATAATTTTCAGGGAAGAAATACTCAAGGTCAAAATATGCATGTTTCTCATGTTTAAATAATTTCAGTTGGATGGAATAGCTGATTTTTTATTTTTATTTTTTTTTTTTTTGTGAAAGGTGAGCGTGAGTATGAGTCTTATTGCTCATTAAATGCGACTCACAAAATAATAAGAGTTTTAATATAGTCTGTGTACTTTGCATAATTGATCTTCAATTTATATAATAGTATTTTTAATGTGGAAATTTGAAGTTCTATTACTGACACAAAATCATATCACAATGACCAGTTTCCAGGTCTCTCGGAGTGAAACAATGACCAGTCAAGGAGGATATCGGGGTCTTATCCAAAGAGTATATACTCAAGATGGAGGATTGGGTAATAATCAGAGACTACAAATGTGGATCGGGTAATACCCAGGGAGGGGGAGGCTGGAATTCTTATATATTCAAGCACCAAACAATCAAAGTGGAGGACATGGTCAACCTTGGAGGTAGTAGAGATAATTTTCAGGGCGGAAATACTCAAGGTCAAAATATGCATGTTTCTCGTGTTTAAATAATTTCAGTTGGATGGAATAACTGATGTTTTTTTTTTTTTTTTTTCCTCTGTGAAAGGTGAGTGTGAGTATGAGTATACTCTGTGTACTTTGCATAATTGATCTTCAATTTATATAATAATATTTTGACATTACCTATGAAATTGGTCTACCAAATGTTTTATAAACCTCTTAATTAGGTCAAGAATAAGAAATTATTTAACTAGTAATCATACATAAGATATAAAATTCAACATGAGTGACCTAAAAATTTCTCTATGATCATGCTTGTATAATAATCTCATACAATATCGTTCGGATCGCTATATAATTCAATGTTACAATAACTATTCAAGGACTAGTACAATTCCCAATAATGGTGATTGATTTTATTGAAAAAAATAATTAAAATTTAATATAATTGTCAATTATTTACGTCAGTATAACTATATTAAGAATAATTTTTTTAATTTAAAGCCTTATTAAGTTGAGTTAATGAATACCTAAAAATTCAATTTCCTCCATATCTAATACTGCTTAATGGACTAAATAAGTTTTAATTAAAGTTCTAAATATTTAATATTTTTTTATATACAATACCTTTTTTCTTAGCAATAAAAGAAAGGTAAATTTTCTATTATTAAAAGTTGTTAGATAGTTTAAGTTGTTAGCTTGTAACTAATATAGGTAGTTTGATGGATTAATTTCACCGAAAGGGTCTGTACTATATGAGTATGTACTTAAACATATCTGATCTACCATCTATGTAACCATGAAAAGCCTTTATATGCAATTTTATCTCACTCCTCCCCATCAGCCCTTGTATGTGTGGTATCATTCTCCACAAGCCATTTTCACTTCCACAAGCACCGGTATGACGCCTTTGTTTCCTCCCTCTCCTTCTCTATCGATACCACGTTGTCTTTCTCCCCGCCTGCTGAGTCACGTATCATTCACACTTAAGATATTGTTTTCCACGGCTTTTGCCAAGCTTTCTCCCATTGAAGCGCTTAACCTTCAAACCCTTCCCCATTTCCTAGCATTCATCCCTGGATGTGTCCAGCACATGCAAACCACGCGATCCCATGAGTTTCTTGGTCTAAAAACCACCGATAGAGCTGAGTTATTTAAAGAATCTGACTTTGGCTCGGATCTTGTTGTTGGAGTTATTGACGCTGAAATTTGGCCTCAGTGGCAACGGACTCACCGGCGCTAGGCTTTGCTCTTTTTTCCATTAAGTCCGTTTGTCAAAGAGAAAGAAACATGAGGAGCACGAAAGAGAAGAGGAAAGAGCGAGCAAAATAGAATCCAGTGAAGATTTTGGACTTAAAAATAACTATTTTCAAATCCATTGGTATATTTAATTAGAAAATAAAAAAAATTTATAAATATTTTAACGATCCACTTTAATCTGTTGTTAAATTTTAAAAATTTACGTAGCTACCTTTTCCCACCATTTACACACGCCACATTAACAACAAATAAAAAAATAATAGTTGTTAGTTGGTTAACTAGTTATAAGAAATGTAGAAATTTGACTAGTATAGTATTTGAAAAAAAGAACATATCAAATAATAGTAAAATAGTAAATTTCAAATATTATTGATCTTTCGAAAATGAAATGGGAAAATAATTTGGGAATGATAGAAAAAGGAAGTAGGCCAAAAATTATGGAATAGATAAAGTAATAAATTTGACAGTTTTTAACTAATTTTTTTAATTTAAAAAACCAAAATATTAGTAATTCTTTTTTTTCTAACATGTGGTTTTTAATGCAGAATAAAAAGAGATAATAATCAAATCTATTGAGTTGAACCAATTAATTAATTTGCAAAAATCAAAATAAGTTTAAGCGCTAAATTAATATTTTGGGACTAAATAATCACTTAAAAAATGACTTATATTTTGAGATAAAGAAGTAATTTTTTTTATTTTTTAATTTTATAATAGATAATATTTTCATACATATCGATTTTAGTTTATGCCTTTATGGTATAATTTCAGCGCTAAAATTAAAATATTTTGTGGGATCTTAAATAATCACTAAAAACAATCGACTTATATTTTGAGATAAACAGAAGTAAGTTTTTTTATTTTTTAATTTATACATAGATAATATTTTTCATGACATATCTGATCTTTAAGTTTATGCCCTTTATGGTATCATTTCAACGAATTTTGTAACAATGACTTTTAACTAATTATTTTCTTTTTTTTCCTTTGTTGTTTGAGGAGACTAATCATTATTTAATAATAAGTTATGACATTAAGTGAAATTAATTTGTATATGGACACGAAACTTTTTTGAACTTTTTTTTTTCTTAATCATTAGAGAGACCTTGTCTTGTTCAAAATGATCTATTTTTTGAGAAGTATATTTTCCGGGAGGTACACTTTTATGGAAATTATTTTTCAGTAAATATAATTTGAATATATTTATTATAAAAATCTAACATTTTGAGAAGTATATTAAAAAGTAAAAGACAATAATATACATAATATAAAAATTAAGTATATTTAGATAATATGATAAAATTGAAAAATTTACTGCATGATGCAAGTTTCTTAGCCATCCTAAGGAAGTTACTTCCCTTGTGTAAGCGAAGTTGGACGACCCACTTCCTGAAAAATAGAATTGAGAATGTAAGTTAAACATAAGCATTTCATGCACTTTCCGACTTCTTAATCTACTTACTCCAATAAAAAATTGCACTTCTTAATCTATTTACCCTAATCAAAAATACCTGATTTTTATATTCTACAAAGGTTAACTTAATGAAGTCTTTTTTAAGCGCTAAATTAATTTAAAAGGTCAAATGTAGTTTTTTTAATTTTTCTAAACAAATTTAGGAGCCAAATTAACCGAAAGTGTGAAATTTGATTTTTTTTTTTTTTTTTTTTTTTTTTTTTTTTTTTTTTTTTTTTTTTTTTTTTATCTTTCTAAACAAGTAACTTTTACTCTCTAAACAAACCACCCTTTAGATTTTATAAGGTAATCACACCGTCCAAAATTATTTTTAAAAGTAGAGTTGATTTTCTGAGACTATATACTAATGTTGATAATTACGTACAAAATGTAGACCAAGACTTTGCAAAGTGACAAAAAAATAATTTTATTTATACAGACATTTTAAAACTCCTATGCATAACCCATTAATTTCCTTCACATTGCATCCTATGATATCGATTTATCATATATTTATAAACCCTGTAATTAGGTTAATAATAAGAAATTTTTAGATAAAACTATTTAACCATTAGCCATATGCAAGATATCACTATGAAAAAATCAGTATTTAGCGATAAATTTTACTGACAGACATATTTTCTTGATAATTATTGATAGATTAGCAATTGTTTATCGACTGGTTGTTGATAGATTACTGACTAGTTACCAACAGATTATCGATCGATTTCTATAAAAAAATTTTAATTTCAGGCAGTATAGATGGGCAAAAAATGACAAAATTTAACAACAAACTAATTGGCGACAAAATCTTCTGTCGCTAATTTGTGGGTGTTTACCGATAATTACTATATATTACCTATCAATTTCGAAAAAAAATTTAAATGAGTGGTAAAGATAACATTTAGCGACAGAATTTCAGTATTTAGTGAGAAAAAATTCTGTCACTAAATACTGAAATTTTTATTTTAAGCATCAACGCTTTATTTTTTTTTCTCATCTAACTTCTCTTCTCTTTTTTTTTTTGTCCTTACCTTAGCTTTCTTCTTCATTTTTTCTTTCTTCCTTTTTTCCCCCTTCTTCATCATTATCTTCCTTTTTTTTTGTTTTCTTTTTTTTTTTCTTCTTCAATACCATCTTGTTTATATATAAAATTAGACATAAATATAAGTCGCGTAAAAATTCTTTTAACTTGAAAGGTTTAATTGTTGCAATTTTGATATTGCCTTCTTTATTCTCACTTTTATATATAGTAGTATTTAAGAACGTGCATTATTTAATTTCTTCTCGATATTTATTCTATTTTTTCTAGTTTTTATATAATCAAATATTGTATACAATTGAGAAGAAGAATTATTTAATCTTTACATAAATCTAATAATTGCATGCTGTGGAATTGAAGAGGGATTGGAAGGCAAACATTCTGTCAAATTGAACTCAACATATGATCATTAATAATCTTTTTAGTAACGCCTAGAACCAATATTGCATCAAATGTTTTTTGCAAGAAATTATCCAATCCCTTTTTTTCAACAAATAATAATAGTCTTCTTTTAGTGAAACAGAAGACAAAAGCAAGTTAGTTTTTTTGTTTTGATTAAATAATATTAGCAGACATATTAAATTTGATGGATTGAGTATCAATAAAATCAATGAAATGCTAATGTCAATTCATTTTGTAATGGACAAAAGCAATAAAAAATATTTTAAAAAAATTTTTAATGTAACCGATTCTTTTTTACTATTAACTTTCTTAAAATAATCCCAATAATTTCATACAACTAACTCAGAAAAGACATAAATTATAAAATAAAAGTTTGACCAATATATAAATAATCCCAAATAATTTTCATACAACTAACTCAGAAAAGATACATAAATTAATAAAAATAAAAAGTTTGACCGCAATATATCATACAAACTAACTCAGAAAAGACATAAATTATAAAATAAAAGTTTGACCAATATATCATTACAATATGACTTTTAATTAGGTCATGATAAAAATAATTTATCATTCAATAAAAGAATGTGACAAGTTATGTGAACGTAATAAAATTAGATAAGATAAAATTTTCAATTCACAATGAATATAAAAAATTCATTTATCCCCTTCTCATTACGTCTTGATAAAAGAAAATAAAGAATGGCTTCTTCCTTTATTTATGTAATTCAGATTGACTAAACACATTTGAATTACAAGCATATCTATCCTAATATTTATTTATTTTGTTTATGTAATGAATTGACTAAACACATTTGAATTACAAGCATATCTATCCTAATATTTATTTATTTTGTTTATGTAATGAATTATAACACAACTCGTTTTACTTGTCTATCGTCATTCTTTCTTAAATTATTTTAGCAATTATTTCTCCACCCACGCTTGTATTGAAATGGTATTAAATTAAAACACTCACAACTATATATTTTAATTAACTGTTTATGTAATGAACTAATATTGCTTAGTTATTAGAGTAGTGTATTGTTTTAAATTAACTAGTTAGAGCTATTTTGTTTTTATTTTTTAAGTTATTTTAAAATTTATCTTATTCGTTATTTATTATATTTATAGATAACTCTATCAATTTGCTTAATAAAAGATGATCAAAATGAATAAAGAAAACTATATATGTATGCGCTAATTATCAGAGACCAAAGTGATTTCTTATATTAAATATGTATTTCTAAATTCCCGATCTACTTCTTTTCATTTATATTTTAATGTTGACATTCTATGGTCTTGGTCTATCTTAAATAATTATCTTAAATAAATAAATGTTATCTAATATTTATTTGTTTGTACTAAACTAAATCAATGAAAAATGATTTTTTTTATAAAAAAATAATGAATGATAATTTGTAGTTTTTTTTTATTTGGTTTGACAATTAATGAATTCACATTTAAGAATACAAACAAGTCTACATTAGGTAGATATTTGTTATTTTACGGAAATAAGCCTTATAATGCAAACAAATAGACATTTGGTAGATATTTGTTAATGAACTTTTAAACCTTAACAATAAATAAAAAAATAAATGACTTGATATAATATATATATATATAAGCATGGCAGAGACATAGTTGCTAAAAACAATTAAAGAAACAATGAAGATATACCGGCAAACGAGTTGTGTTATGGTCCATTACATAACCAAAATAAATAAGTAAATATAAATTGCATTCTTTGGAATTACATAGTCATTCTTTATTTTCTTTTATCAAAACGGAATGAGAATGGAATCTATGAATCTTTTTGTATTCATTGTGAATTTAGTATTTTATTGTATCTAATTTTATTGCCTTCTGACATGATGATTTATGTTTTTCATGAGCTAATTAAAAAATTATATTAAAATCCCCAAAGCCAAAATGATTTCATATATTGATATTACAAATACCTAATTACGTACAATCAAACACCTAATTACAAATACCTAATTACATAAATTGATATTACAATTTAGAAAGACCCAGAAAACGATGGTATCATCAATTCCTAATTCAGAAGTACATTACCATGCTACTTAGAGTCATCTTATATGCTGTTCAAAATTCCCACAGTCTTTCTTTAAAAGAAAAAATATTCTCGAAGTCTTTTTCGAGAGAAAAAAATATTCTCAAAGTCTTTGTCTACTTATTTTTATTTATTTGTAGATAATATATATTTATGGGCTAATGGCTCTCTCATTGACTCAGCCTTTGTTTGTGTGTGTGTATATATATTTTTTTATCCACTTCTTGAAGTCATAGGTATTACCTAGACTAATTATTCCAGATTTTAATTTGAGATAATTTAAGAAACATGTAGCTAACTCTTTGCAGAATAATTTCTTTTTTCAGATTATTATATAAATATTGGTTACTTTTAAAATAATCTTTCACAAGTATAATGAGATTTTATGATCTTAATTACAAAAAATGAGATTTAAATCACTTGAATTTATAAGAAAATATATTAATGAGATTCAATCACTTGATCTTCAAAATTATTTTAATCAACTTTTTTTTTTTTTTTCTGTTTTTTGTCTTCATTGATTGCCTATTTTATTAATGGCTACCGACCAAATTGATTACTTCCCAAATTCCCAACTGCCTATTTCCAAAATTCCGGATCTACTTCTTTTCATTTATATTTTAATGTTGACATTCTATGGTCTTGGTCTATCTTAAATAATTAACTATACCTTCTATACTTGTCATCTCATCGGCAATGAAAAATATAACAATATTCATTTCCTATATGCCTATATAAGGATTCACAATTCTTTGGTTAATCACACTTCACTTCCAAGACACAAAAAATATTTCACCAAAACATTCTAACCAAGTTTTAAGATTTCTCTGAACAAAACAATGTCAACTCAAGGAGGAAACACTCAAGGAGGATGGGGTAATACTCAGGGAGGAAACACTCAAGGTGGAGGTGGTGGTAATACTCAAGGTGGTAATACTCAGGGTGGAAACCAATGTCAACTCAATGAGTTGAATACACTCAAGGAGGATGGGGTAATACTCAGGGAGTGTGTATTAACTATCTTCAATGGTGGATGTGTGGTGGTAATACTTTAAGTGTGTATATACTCAGTGGTGGTAGGATTGGGGCAATACTGCAAGGAGGGAACACTCAAGGCGGAGGTGGTGGCTAATTATCTGTCAGTGGAAGTGTAACCTACTTCATAGGTGTGAGGTGGTGGTTAATTACTCTCAGGGTTGTGTTAATTACTACGGGTTGAAATATGCATGTTTTCTATGTTTTTAAATAATTTCAATTGGAATGGAAAATAAATGGTGTTGTTTTTTTTTTTTTTTTTTTTCTTTCAATGTGTGAAAGGTTTTTTTTTTTTTTTTCTTTCATGTGTGAAAGGTGAGGTTAATTATGAGTCTTATTGCTCATAATGTACGACTCACAATAATAAGAGTGTTAATGTGCTATGTGTATTTTGCATAATTGATCTTCAATTTATGCAATACTATTTCTAATGAAGAAATTTCAAGTTTCTACTACTCATCGATTATTTATAATTATTTATTGCTATTAATTTCGACAATACTTATATAAACCTTTTAATTAGGTCAGCAACAAGAAGTTTTTAAATGAAATTAGCCATTAATTATATTAAACAGGCCGAGCTCATTGGAGCCTGGCCAATCCAAAAAACTTTTTATGCGAAATTATATTTTAATCTGCAATTATTTTGCGAATATACTATCAAAAAAGAGTGTTGGTGCTACTTCTCTCTTTATTGCTTGGATACATTGATGCTTTCTTCTTTCAAGTTGGCTGCAAACTACCTTTATCCGGCTTTTCCTCATCTCAAGAAATGGCGTTTCAATAGGCTGGCTTCGTTTTATTGGCTCTTGCATTTGTTTGTCTTGGTTCCTTTTATTATGAGAAGTTGATTAGCATCTTTGATTTTTTGTTCTACTGTTGTTGATGAGTATTGATGTTTTGACTAAATTTTTGATTTAAAATATCTGAATTAGGTTGGATGTATGCGGGGGCCTATTGACTCGGGATAAATAGTTTCAAATTAAAATTTCTTGTTATGGACATAATTTCAAGGTTTATAAAATATTAATTAAGTCAATGTCATAGCTAACGCTGAAAAACTAGTTGCGGTAAAATAATACTGGACATATATATACTTGATGAGTAATAAAAGCTCAAAAAAATTTTTTCACTAGAAATAGTATTGCATAAATTGAAAATCACTTAAGCGAAGTATACAAATTACATTAAAACTCTTATTATTTTGTGAGTTGCATATTATTAATAATAAAACTCTTAACCTACTAATTGTAGCTCAGTTGGCAACGCAAGCTACATATGTGGAAATAGCTCTTAGGTTTGATTTCCACTAGACACATCTGCCGGGAAGGACGAACAGCTTTAACTGTGATTAAACCTCGAGTTGGATTAGGCGGTCCTGGGGTAATAGAGTTCGGGTAACAGTGGTTTACAAAAAAAAAAAAAAACAAATTATCCTCACGTTTCGCACACATAAAATAAAATAACACCAGTAGTTCCATCTAATTGAAATTACTAAAACAACCTTTCACACGCATATAAAAAAAAAAAAAAAAAAAACCACCTTTCACACGCATATAAAAAAAAAAAAAAACCCATTGATTGCATCTAATTGAAATTGCTAAAACACCTGGATGGAAGACAACCGCAAAAAGTCTTGATATTGATCTGAGAAGTGATACAATTTGACGTGGAAGACAACCGCAAAGTCTTGATATTGATCTGAGAAGTGATACAATTTGACTCAAAATTCCTTCTTGGGCATTGTCACCTTGTAGATTCTTACTTGGGGTATCTCCTGCTTGAGTGACTTGAGAATTTCCGCCGTGAATGTTTCCTCCCAAATATTGCCACTTCCGCCTTGTATATTTCCTCCTTGAATATTACTGCTACCTCCAATTTGAGTGTTTCCTTCCTGGGAGGCCATTGTTTCAATGAGAGAGAACTTGGAACTTTTGTTAGAATGTTTTGTGTAATATTTTCGTGTCTTGGAAGTGAACTGTTACTAATCAGAAAATTGTGAATCTTATATAAGCATAGAGGAAATGAAGTGTGACTTGGAATATAGTTATATTATTCTTGCCGATTAGATGACAGTTGTACAAGGTATACTTAATTATATTAGGTAGACGAAGACCAAGGTATAGTTAATTATATTTGATTGTTAAATAATTACCACCCAATGAGTCCATACTTGATTGTAACATTATAGTTTACTTGAATGAAGAAAAATAGAAAGAGATGTATGTACATATTTGATATAACTAATCACTTTGGTTGGTAGCCGTTAATAAAATCAATGAAGACAACAATAAATAGAAAAAGACTTTGAAAAATGTAAAATAAAAAGACTTTGTGCACCCATTGTTCAACCTATTTTATAAATTTATATAAATTTCTCGAATAATTCTATTCTTAGTAATTTTCAATGGTTTTCTCCATCTCTCTCTAAACTTCATATTAATTCTAGACTCAATAAAATGAAGTAATTAAGAAAAATGGAGAATTTATTAATTGTTGTGAGAGTTTTATTAAACACTATTTCGGTCCAAGTGAGGAAACACGGCCAGAGATAAAGACACAATGGTATGTAAATTATTAAATAATTGAAGGATAATATTATATAAATTGAAGCTATAAAAGTGAAATTGTCAATTGGCAGCAAAATGACATCAGTGTAATGAAAAAAATATATATATATCAAAAGGCTAAAGTGAAAAACACTATTGTGGGTTTTATTGTAAGAATCATCTTAACAAAAATGAGTTTATTACCTTTTTACACAACACAAAAATAAAAGAATATAAATGTAATTAAAGAGATACCAAAGAGTAAAGTAAGAAATGTTATTTTGGCATGCCAATAAAAATGGGTATTCACTTTTCATAATAAAAAAAAATTATAAATGTAATTAAAAAGATATTAAAGAATAAAAGTGAGAAAACACTATTTCATGGACTAAACTAATAAAAATAGAGATTTTTGCTGAAACGAGGACATCTGTGACCAAACATAAGGGAAAAAAAAAAGATAAAATATGAATAATTTTTAAAAATTTCTATTTTTATTGATTTGATCCACAAGTGGAGCCATAGACCTGGTTTAAACAAATATAATATATAATAATATGTGTACAATATTTGAACAAATAAAAGAGTTATATTTTAACAAATATAATATATTGTTTTTTTTATGTGTGAAAAGTGGGCGTAATTATGAGCCTTATTGCTCATAACGTGCGACTCTCAAAATAATAAGAGTTTTAATTTACCCTGTGTACTTTCAATAATTGATCTTCAATTTATGCAATACTATTTATAATGAAGAAATTTCAAATTTCTATATATTACTCATCTAGTATTTATAATTTAGTTCTACTATTTAACCCTTAATTAGGTCAATAATAAGAAATTTTTAGGTGAAACTATGACATTACTATGATATTGATTTATCATATATTTATAATTGTTTTGACATTACCTATGATATCGATTTATCATATATTTATAAACCCCTTAATTAGGTTAATAATAAGAAGATTTTATCAATAATATTTAAATAAACCCCTTAATTAAGGTTACTTAATTAGGTTAATAATAAGAAATTTTTGGGTGAAGCTATTTAACCATTAACCATATGCAAGATATCATTATGAAAAAATCAGCATTTAGCGATAAATTTTACCGACGGACATATTTTATTGGTAATTACTGATAGATTAGCAATTGTTTACCGACCGATTGTTGATAGATTACTGACTAGTTACCAATAGATTATTGATCGATTTCTATAAAAAAATTTTAATTCCAAGCAATATAAATGGGCAAAAAATGACAAATTTAGCAACAAACTAATTGGCGACAAAATCTTCTGTGCTAATTTGTGGGTATTTACTGATAATTACTATATATTACCTATCAATTTCGAAAAAAATTTAAATGAGTGATAAAGATAATACTTAGCGACAGAATTTCAGCATTTAGTGATAAAAAATTCTGTCACTAAATACTGAAATTTTTATTTTAAGCACCAACGCTTTATTTTTTTTGAAATTTTTATTTTAAGCACCAACGCTTTATTTTTTTTCTCATCTAACTTCTCATTCATTTTTTTTTTCTCCTTACCTTAGCTTTCTTCTTCATTTTTTCTTTCTTCTTTTTTTTCCCCCTTCTTCATCATCATCTTCCTTTTTTCTTTTTTTTTTTTTCTTCTTCAATACCATCTTGTTTATATATAAAATTAGACATAAATATAATAATTTTCTAAAAATATGAACAAATAAAAGAATACAAATAGACAAGTAAAAAAGAGTTATGTAGTTTAATATTATTACAATATTTGATATTTAATAGAGATCAAATATAATATACACAAAATAATAAAAAAAAAAGACTTAAATTGAATTCTTTGGAATTACATAAACAATGGAAAAAAGTCATTCTTTAATTTCTTTTATCAAGACGAAATGAGAAGGGAATTCATGAATAGTTATTTTCTTTTATGGAGGAAATTGAACAATATACATTTCAAATTTTGAAAATTTGAAAATTTTGAAAATTTTGAGTTTTGGTTAAAATTTAAATAGACTAATTTATTATCACGAATTTAATCTTTTTATATTGCAAATTTAATATATTATCTTATCTAATTTTATTAGGTCGACAATTCACTATTTTATAAAATAACTAGTACATATTAAAATTTGAACTTTTTTTTTTTTTTGAGTATTAGGAGAGGAGGATTCGAACCTAGATTAATTGTCAGAACGTATATATACTTACCACTATGCTATGCCTTGATGTGCAAGTTGAATTAAAGTCTGAAATATATTTAAAGTAGTTTTAGTTTGAATTTTTATGTATGTAGTTTAACTCAACTTAATAAGACTTTAAATTCAGAAAAGTTTATCATTTAAAAAAAAAAAATTCAATACGTTTATTCTTAATATGCTATACAAATGTAAAGGATTAACAGCTATATATATATATATTAAATTTTAAGTATCTTTTGAATGAAATTAATCACCACTGTTAATTAGAAATAGACTAGCCCTTAAACTTAATTAGAAATAGACTAGCCCTTAAACAATTACTTTATCGTTAAATTTTATAGCAGTCTAAATGATATTGTAGGAGATTATTATACAAGCATGATGATAGATAATTTTATACAAGCATGATCATAGAGAAACTTTAACGACTCATGTTTAATTTTATATCTTACATATGATTAATGGTTAAATATTTTCACCTAAAAATTTCTTGTTATTAACCCAATTAAGAGGTTTATAAAATATTTCATATATGAAATTACCAATATAGGTAATGTCAAAACTAGTAGCAGTAAAAAATTATAAACACTTGATAAAACACTTGATAAGTGATAGAAACTTGAATTTCATTCATTAGAAATAGTATTTTGCATAAATTGAAGATCAATTATGCAGAGTACACCGAGTATAATAATACTCTTATTA